CACAGAGCTGGCACACAAATGAGAAAATTTTTCAGTGGGGACATCAATTACATTTTTATATACTATTTTTTATTATTATTCATTGTTGTTCAAAATTTTAAATAGCCATATCCTTCTAGTTCATAAATATATTATAATTCAATTAACTGTTTTTTTCATTATTGTACATAATTCTAACCTTTTAATATTATAACTCATACTATGACGAATATCCTTGTAGATGAATCTTTGCCCTCCTATCACGTTTGTATTTTAAATTAATTTATTTTAAAGGCACAGTGTGGGCTGGGGGATATAGTTCAGTTGATACAGTGCTTGTCTCGCATGCATAACAACACCCTGAGTACCCAATACCGCCAAAAAATAAAAAATAAATAAAGGCACAATAGACTTCACCCAAATAAATGGCTCCAGTAGGGACAATCTCAGGCTCTGGCAAGCATGTGGAAAAAATATTTTGCTGTAAGTGATCCTTTTAGCCATCTCTAATTGCCCTCTCAAGGTGACTGCCTACTTTGCCAACTGGGAGGTTAGTTTGGGATAGCACTATGGAAGTCTGAAAAGTAGGCCAGTCCTTGGGAAGCCTTAAGGGTGACCTAAGGTGTGTGGAGGGGTTATATTGTACAAAGAAAAGGAGATGAATGAATTTAGATAGGTTTCAACATAGAATCTTAAAGCCAGGAGAAATTTAGAAGATTACTTTCTTCTCCATCCTCCCAGCACAAGGCCCAAAGCATAGTACAAAGAATGACAAAGTATCTTTCTCTTGTTACTGTCTCTGATTGATTGGTGGTGGTGAAAGCATGGTGTGTAAGGCAAGTGAAGGTCAATGGGAAGAATACTTATAACAGTGAGCTTCATCTATTTATCATAAGAGAATGAGAATTAATTTAATTTGTAAGTTTGCCATTCCTCTAGTAAATGTTTAAATGAATAAATAGGTCTGAGATTAATAGTATAAAATCAGTTTTCATTATTGTACTATTTTTTTTTCTTTTCTTTCTTTCTTTTCTTTTCTTTTTTTTTTTTTTGTACTGGGGATTAAACCCAGGGGCATTTAATCACTAATCCACATCCTCAGCCTTTTTAAAATTTTTATGTTGAGATAGGGTCTATCTGAGTTGCTTGCCTCACTAAGTTGCCAAAGCTGGTTTTGAACTTGCAATCCTCCTGCCTCAGCCTCCCTAGGCACTGGGATTACAGGCATGTGCCACCATGCCTGGCTATTGTACTAATTTTTTTAGACTTAAAAATGTCTGTTTTTTGAAAAGGTAATATATTCATATATTTAAAACTCATAAGTTAACTTAGTGAAAAGTCTCCAGCCAAGCTTGCATTCTGCTATATTCCCTTTTAACTAATATTGAAGAAAAAATTTTAAAGCCTAGGCTCTAACTCACCTTTTTTTTTTTTTTTTATTTTTTGTTCTGAGTGGTACTGGGAATTGAACTCAGGATCACTTAACTACTGAGACACATTCCCAACCTTTTTTATTTTGAGCCAGGGTGTCACCAAGTTGTTCAGGGCCTCACTAAGTTGCTGAGGCTGGACTTGAATTTGTAATCCTCTTGCTCAGTCTCCAGAGTTTCTGGGATTATAGGCATGCTCCATGGCACCTAGTAATATTTTTTAAATTTTCTATATATCTATTGTAAACAATGTTAAGAGGAGAGGGTGGAGAGCAAATCTGTGTTTGCATATCCAAAAGACATTTATTTTTTCTCTCTCCCCCTATCTTTTTTCATTTTATTTTTTTTATTTGTTCTTTTTAGATATGAATGACAGTAGAATGTATTTTGACATATTATACATACATGGAGTATAACTTATTCTAATTATGATCCCATTCTTGTGGTTGAACATGATATGAAATTACACTAGTCATGTATTCATATATGAACATAGGAAAGTTATGTCCAATTCATTCTTCTATTCTCTCTCTTTTCTTTCTTTTTAGTGCTGAGGATTAAAAAACCAAAGTCTCACACATGCTAGGCAAGTTCTCTACACACTGAGCTATATTCCCAGCCCCGACATTATATTTAATATCACTATAACTATACCATAGCTTTCACAATTGAAATTGCATTTAAAAAAATTAATAAAATAGTAACTTCTCAGGCTTTTATTTTCAATTTCAGGGAGACTTCCTTCAATTTTTACTTATTTTATAATTGGCAAGTAATCTTTAAGTCCTAAATTTTGTAAAAGTGTCAAAATGAGGTGATTTTGGGCTGGGGATGTGGCTCAAGCGGTAGCGCGCTCTCCTGGCATGCGTGCAGCCCAGGTTGGATCCTCAGCACCACATACAAACAAAGATGTTGTGTCCGCCGAGAACTAAAAAATATATATTAAAATTTTTTTTTAAAATGAGGTGATTTTTATTTTGAGTTCTAAGTGCTTAAGAATATACATCATGCTGTAATAAATATAGACATTACTTCCTAGAAGTGATCCTATTTTTGTTATTATTGTTTTGTTGTAGCATGCAAGACGACAGCATAGAAGCTTCTACTTCCATATCTCAACTTCTAAGAGAAAGCTATTTAGCTGAAACCAGACATCGGGGAAACAACGAGAGGAGTCGAGCAGAACCTTCCTCTAACCCTTTCCATTTCGGCAGTCCCTCTGGGGCTGCTGAAGGAGCAGGAGGCCAAGATGACCTTCCAGATCTTTCAGCCTTTCTGAGCCAAGAAGAATTGGATGAAAGTGTCAATTTGGCAAGATTGGCAATCAATCATGATCCTTTGGAGAAAACAGATGAAGCCCAAGCTAGAAAACGTTTAGCTTCTGATCAGATGAAACACTCACCTAAATCAAGTTTTGACCCTAACTTCTGTCAGGATAACACTCGAAGTCCTACCAGCTCTAAAGAGGACCCCCAGGAGGCAAAAAGGCCACAATATAGTTCTGAAACCCAGTCCAAAAAAGTATTCCTAAATAAGGCAGCCGATTTCATTGAGGAGCTTTCCTCCCTTTTCAAGGCCCATAGCTCCAAGAGGATTAGACCTCGTGCCTGCAAAAACCACAAGAGTAAACTGGAATCTCAGAACAAAGTTATGCAGGAAAACAGTCCCAGTTTCTCAGATCTGTCAGAAAGACGAGAAAGATCTTCTGTTCCCATCCCTATCCCTACAGATACCAGGGATAATGAAGTGAATCATGCCCTTGAACAACAGGAAGCCAAGAGGCGTGAAGCTGAGCAGGCTGCTAGTGAGGCATCTGGTGGAGACACCACCCCAGGGTCTTCGCCTTCATCTTTGTACTATGAAGAACCTCTGGGTCAACCTCCCCGGTTCACTCAAAAGTTACGAAGCAGAGAAGTTCCCGAAGGATCCCGAGTACAGTTGGATTGCATAGTGGTAGGAATTCCACCTCCTCAAGTAAGGTAAAAATGTCCCATTAGTAATGTTTGGCATGGTGCTTTCCATCTACCATGATTCTGCTAAGTGTGACCTGTTAAGTATGTGGTTTCAGAAATTATATATACTTCCTTTGAGAAAAGTAGAGAGTGTCTAAAAAACTCTGTTCAAAAGAAAAGAAAAATAATATTAGCAATGTATGTAGTTTAAAATTTTCTAGGGCTGACATGGCTCATGCCTGTAATCCCAATGGCTCAGGAGGCTGAGGCAAGAGAATCGCAAGTTCAAACCCAACCTCAGCAATTTAGCAAGACCTTGTCTCAAAATAAAGAATGAAAAATGGATTAGGGAAGTGGCTCAGTGGTGGAACCACCCTGGGTTCAATCCCTGGTACAATAGATAGATAGATAGATAGATAGATAGATAGATAGATAGATAGATAGATAGATAGATAGTTTTTTTCCAGGGCTGAGGATGTAGCTGTGGTAGAGGTCTTACATGAGGCCTCATGCATGGGGCGCTGGGTGCAATCCCCAGAACTGTAATCAATCAACTAATTTTCTACTTTTCATTATTTTTTAAAAATAAAAATAACTAGATGAGACTAAGACTAATAATAGACCTTATTTAGCCAGTATATTAAAAAGATTTCAAAATGTAATTATCTAATCAAATATTTTACATTGTATTCTTTATGCCAAGTATTCAAACCACTGTGTGAATTCTATACTTATAGCCCATCTCAATTTGGATGCTAAATTTTTCTAGGAAAAACTTATTTTACATTTAAGATACCTGTTGTTTTGTTTTAGAATATTCAAGAAAGCCAAGTGATAGGATAAATACAAAATAAGGCTGTGGTTAACATCAATTTAAAGACTCATTTTACATGTAATATATTTATTGTAAAGTTTTGATTATCAAATTAATGAACACTAGTCTGTCTAGTTCCCAAGTCTTTCCCTAATATGACTGATTAGTAGAGGGAATATTCATCTCCCACGTGCCCACTAAAGTTAGCTTTTCTCTGAGGCAGACAAAATATAAACTTAGGCCTCCTGCTCTGCATAAGCTATACCTAACTTTGTGTTCTGATTTTATTTTGTATTTTTAAGGATCTCTCTCTTTCACATTTATGGTTCTACAAACCTGGAACCAGCCTTAGTCCTCAGGGTAACATTTGCTGCCTCTTATAACACGTGAATAATGTGGTTGAAGTATCTTACTTTAGTAGACAATTACTGGTACTTAGAGTTTTATAAGAGTTGCTTGCTTTCCTAACCACCTAATTATTCCTAGAATATGACATCTGATATAATACTCACATTATAGAATATAGTATTAATACATTTATATTTATCATTATAATGTAATTAATATTTTATATATGCATACTATTTCAAGAGAATCTGCCCCAAAGACATACTCATATATTGAAATTTGTTTTCAAATATTATCAATTTCATAAGATATATCAAATATTATTTCTACAGCAGCACTGCATTTTATTATCAGGTTTTATTATCTCTTCCTTGAGGGCAGAGTTCTGGTGTTTCTGTCTTTGAATCTTGAGTACCAAGCAGAGTCTGGCCCATAGTAATCACTCAGCAAAATTAATGAATAAAGAAACAGAAAAAAAAGACTATATTTTCAGGGATCATTTCTGTAGTTGAGTACTAGAGAAGTTTCTCTGGACACGTAGAGCATCAGAAACCAGGAGGACCTATAGCATTCTCTCTTAAGTGTGAAGCTGGCTCTTGATGTTGCTTCATTGCAACCTCCATTTACTATTGGTTATTATTGTTCTCCTTGGAGGAGTAAAGGGGAAGGACACCAACTGAGTGCTTTTTTAAAAAAGAAGAAGTTGGGAGGCTGAAGCAGGAGGATCGCAAGTTCAAAGCCAGCCTCAGGAACAGCGAGACCCCAAGCAATTCAGTGAGACCCTGCCTCTAAATAAAATACCAAATAGGGGTAGGGATGTAGCCCAATGGTCAATACCTGTTACCAAAAAAGAAGGAGGAGGAGGAGGAGGAAGAGGAGGAAAACAAGAAACTCAAATTTAAATCAGGAGTGAGATAGTTGGCTTAGGATGTGATTGCCCTTCTACTGTAAACAAGCCTGATGAAGTATGCTCCCTGGGACTCTGGTCAGACCAAATCATTCAGGGACTCATCCTTACCATTTCTCAACCGTGACAATTTTAGATACAAGAATGAATTCAGTCAGGTGTGGTAGTACATGCCTGTAATCCCAGGGGAGGCTGAGGGAGGAGGATCACAAGTTCAAGGACAGCCTGAGCAACTTAGTGAGACTCTGCCTCAAAATAAAAAATAAGAAGAGTTAGAGATGTACCTAAGTGATAGAGGATACCTGGGTTCAAATCCAGTATCAAAATAAAGAAAGAAAGAATAAATTCGGTGCACCCATGAGAAAAATAAAATATCAGCCAGGAAAAACTATAAAGTACCCATTCCCTGAAAACAAAGTCATCTTATAGCAAGTCAAAAACTACTTAATCAACCAAGTAAAAATTTACAAATCTACAAATTTGAAAGTGAAAGAAAAATACTCAGCTTTCATGTGGTAATGTTAATTTTACCTGAGAAGAATTTCATTACTAATTAAATTTATATCTATACCCCAACCATTGATTTGATTCTGGGAAACTAGTAGGAACTCACTAAATTCATTTCTGAATGATTTTGTACTTTATTTCATGACTACAGTTCAATTAATAAAAAATTTATAATTTTCCAGATGGGCTAATAGCTGTCACTGTTTTCTTAAACACAGAATTTATACAACTTTAATCAGAAAGCAACTATTTGTTTAGCTTTTAATTTGTGCTCAGCAGTGTTGTCAATATAATGATGCAGATGATACAAATACGTGTCCCTGCCTTCAAAGAGTTTGCAATCCAATTATTTAAAAAATCACCCTAGTTTTTATCATACATAAATCTTAAGTAGTATTAGGCTAGGGGAACTAGAAAAATCAAAGAAAGTTTCAGAGACATAGGGGACTTTTAGTTGAATTTTGAAAAGTGAAAAGAATTTAGGTAGAAATTAACTCATTTAATTCAACAAATATAGAGTTACTAAACCATTCACTGGGAATACAAAATAATCATGAGTTTGGGAGGTGAGGGATCTTGTTTTAAAATCAAGTCCAAACTATGTTGACAGGCTAATTCATAATCTAGTACAAAAACCAGACAGATATGTAATCAAAGCACTTTTGATTTGCAATATTGTATAATAAGGGCTATAATAGAAGTGTGTACTGGACGCAATGGTGACCCAGAAGAAGATGTGAGTTACCTTGCCTGGAGTGCAAGATAAAGGAACATTAAGGAGGTGAAGGAGGCTAACTGTAGGAGAAAGCAAGTGCAAAAGACCCAAAGCAAGTGTTCTCAGGGAACCCCAAGGACTTGACTATATTGAAACCAGGGTAACAGGTAAGGAAAGATTAGAGATAAGATTAAAGAGGTGGGTGAAAATGATGCGTCCTTTCGGGTCAGGTCAACTCAACATGATTATATAAAGTCACAGATACTGACACTGACATTGTAATCATCTCATGTCCGTTGGGACTGGAATGGGTACAGTGGGACAGAGAAAAGATGTTAATGATCAATATTTAGAAGAGAAGAGGCAATCATCAAGTTGAACTTGGTTATTAACTAAATGGGAAGGTTGAGTAAAAAATTTACCCCATAAGTTTGAAACCGGGTACCTGAAACAGAGATGGGGATCACTGGCCAGTACTGAGAAAATGGAAGAGGTGTCCAATTTGTGGAGGAAGCTGATGGAAATTTGAGTCTGAGGGGTGAAGGGAACATATCTAATAGGCAGTCAGAAATTTGACTGAAGGTCAGATGAGAGGATTAGAGAACTAGAGCAACCCAAGGAGTAATCTGGACCACAATATCTCTGTGCCCACATACAAAGATGTTGAGTCGATCTCATCAAAGGGATTCATCTATTCCATCATCACCCTGTGTTCTTGACATAGCTAAGTACTTGTGGTTTCCTGATATTTACAGAGGGACACATAATATTTAAAACCAACTTCTAGTTGGTTCAGTCTAGTGCTCGAGTGGAAAAGTGTTTTCCAGCCTTCTTTTAACAATAGTTTGCCCCCCAAAACCATTGCATGTTACCTCAATCTCTCTCTCTCTCTCTCTCTCTCTCTCTCTCTCTCTCTCTCTCTCT